GAGTCCCGCATCGGGCTCCCTGCTCAGTGGGGAGTCTGCTTCTCCCTCTGACCCTCCCCCTTCTCATGCTCTCTCTCTCAAACAAAATTTAAAAAAATAAAATCTTAAAAAAAGTTAAAAAAAAAAAGACAAGGATGCAAGTAAGAGTACATCACTGGTGCCGATGAGAAATGGGATCAAGACAGTCTTCAAATGTCTTTAAACACAAAAACAAAAATCCCAAGTAGCTTAATTATCAATTAATGAAGACTCACTGTTATTTCGACTTCTTCAATACAGGTGTGAATATGCAGCACCGCATTATAACCTGGGCAGATGATGGATTTGTGCTCTATAATCACTATCTGTCAAACAAAAAAATTCACATCTTTATCCCTGGGGTAAAGAAAGAACTGAATGTTCTCCAGCGCCATACAGTAGTACCACAATAGGGAACTTACCACCTCCAGTTATTTTTGAGTTAGAAGTGCTGGGTCAGGTCGCCTGATATCCAAACATGAACTCTGATATCCTTACCCTACTGATCTTCTTGGCCAGACCCAAACTTTAGAAACATAGCAGGCAGACTAATTCTGGAGAAGCCTTCTCCATCCTCCCCAAGGATTTACAGTAATCACTGCCACTACAGCTACTTTGGTTTGGTTTGGTTCCAGATGTGAACTTCTCATGATTTTATCCAATTCTCTTTATCTAAGGTCCAGTAAAAGTAAACAATCTTGTACCCAGCATCAAAATCTAATTTATCATCATAGCTTATAACAGAACTCAAAATTCTGTGAGCTACCCTGTCATTCTTCTGCGGAAGTCAGGTTGCTAATAACAGAGAAATTGTGTTTTCCTGTCTGGAAAGTTACTTACTCTGAATGAGCAGACACACCCTAATTTCCAAGGCAACTGTGCTCTATTTACGAGGAAGGACACTTTGAGCAAAATATAAGTTATTATTAAAAGGAGATCAAAAATAAAAAGGAACTTGGGGTGCTTGGCTAGTTCAGTCAGTAGAGCATGGGCCTCAATTTCGGGGTCATGAGTTCAAGCCCTACGTTAGCCATGGAGCCTAGTTCAAAAATAATTAAATAGATAAATAAAAATAAAAATGAACTTACAAAGAATACCACCTCTTAAAGACCTCATGTGTGAGATATACATCATGGTTGTTGTGATATATATGATGTATTTTATTTCAATACACACAATGGCATGTCACCAATAACCAGGATAAAAGGCATTTAAATTCTGATTTCACTTAGATGGTAAAGATCACTAAGACAATTACAATAATAAGTTTACCTGGGCATCAAATGTGCGTCCAGAATGACAAAGATTATTAGGATCACAAAGTATGAATCCTGGAAGAATCTCCTCCTCTTCAATTCCTTTCAGTCTGATTTTGAGGTTTTCACCTGGGGCTACAGAATCAGTTTCTACATCATCGGAAAGGATTCCAAGAACTTCCACATTGTGCTTAAGGAAAAAAAAAAAAGGCAGCAATCAAACCCAAGACTGGGGGTTTTCTGACACATTCACTGCACAGCAGAACATAAAATGATCTGTTCACTTAAAGACTTGCAAGTCACATTTTTCTGAGGTTGTGGATTAGCCAAAACACTTATTTGAACATAAAACTTTATTACATTTGTATGACATGAATTTAATGAAAGTCATATCCTAGAAGTATAAACTGCCAATTAAAATATTCATCATTTTTTATTAATCACATCCTAGTAATTTCCAAACTGAACACAGTATAACTAGCATTTGCCTTTTTTACCTTTTCAAAATTAAAACACTGAATCTAACATTTGGATTTTAATTTTATGAATGTCATTTTTATTATTATCATTAAATTCTAGGATTTAATGGGCACAGCTTCTATTGACTATCAACCCCAAATATTTGAAGAGTGTGCTTCTCAAAAGATATTTAAACAATTAAGCTTTAAAAGAATACTACTTAATGGGTACAGGGTTTCCTTTCGGGGTGATGAAAATGTTCTAGAACTTGATAGGGTGATGGCTGTGAAGGTACTAATGATAAAATTTACATTTTACCATTTACATTTTTTAAATAAAGTGCATACAGATGGGAGAAAATGTTAAAAGCAATACCCACAAGCCTTTACTTCCTTTATGCCCTTGGAAATTCCTATTTTTAAAACACATACCACAAACCAAAGTAACAGCCCTCAAGACAAAATAAACTATCTCATGCTGGTAGATGAAGGTGGAAAAACCATCCAGAATCCAGAATCTGTTGTTCCACACCAGAACTCTACAGACTGTCACTTGCTAAACTCTAGTAAACTCTCCCCTCTCCACCAATAATGGCCTCCTTTCACAAAAGGCAGCTTATACCTTATTGATACCTGTTGAAATTCATCCCAAGAAGTGAAAGAGAGCCATATTTATTAGCTAAATTCTTTCCAGTAACAGGACAAAAGGGCAGAAACCAGCAGTCCCACCATAACAACGAAGCCAAGTACTGTAAACTACTTTTGCCCAAATAATCCAGCATAACAATCCCTCTTCTCCAAATGTGGTCTTCTCTGGCTAAATACAAAGGAGCTAGTCTAATCTTTAAATTAATCCGTAATTTCAAAAATTATGACTGAGACCAACAAATTCTCTTGGTTTATGAAAGGTAATAAGGATTTTGTCTGTCCTAAGTACCTCAAAGAAGTGGAATCATAGAGGCGCATGGGTGGTACAGTCAGTTAAGCAACTGACTCTTGGTTTCGGCTCAGGTCATGATCTCAGGGTCGTGAGATCGAGGCCCGCACTGGGCTCCACACTCAGCACAGAATCTGCTTAAGACTCTCTCTCCTTCTCTGCCCACCCCCAAAATAAATCAATAAATCTTTAAAAGAAAAAAGTGGAATCATGTATTATTTTTTGTGTGACTGGCTTATTAATTCACTTAGCACAATGCCCTAGAAGTTCATCATATTGTATAATGTGTCATAATTTCCTTCCTTTTAAGGCTGAATAATATTCCATTGTATGGCTGTATCACATTCTGTTTATCTACTCATCCATCAGTGGACATGATAGGTTGCTTTTGTGAATAATGCTGTTATGAACATCAGTTCTTCAAGGCTGGCTTTCCATTCTTTTGGGCTCACATCCTGAGGTGGAATTGCTGGATCATACAATTTTCTGTTTTTAAATTTTTTTGAGGAAACATCATGTTTTCCACAGCGGCTGTGCAGTTTTACATTCTCACCCACAGTATACAAGGGTTCCGATTTCTCCACATCCTCACCCAACATCTGTTATTTTTTTTTGATGGGTGTGAGGGTGTTATTTCGTTGTGGCTTTGATTTGCATTCCCCTAATGATTAGTGATGAGATCTTTTCATGTGCTTGTTGGCCATTTGCACATCTTTGGAGAAATGTTTCAGTCTCTTGCTCATTTTTTAGTCAGGTTAATTTTGTTGTTGAGTTGCACTTCTTGATATATTCTGGATTTAGCCCCTTATCAGATTTATGATATACAATTACTTTCTCCCATTTCGAAGGCTACCTACCCATTAATTTTTCAATGTAAGATAGTCTGGCATCTGTGCCTTCTGAAATATTTAACTCCATTCCACTGAGACTCAGCAGGACTAACGGGAATGGAGTTCTTAAGGCTTGCCTCCAGCTACAGGCGAGGCTATGCCGACCTGCCAGTCATCTGTATAAAATCCCAGCTCCCGCAGAGAAGCTGTGACTAGTCTAGCCTGCCACCCAGTCCACCTGCCAATACTGAATTGTACTTTTCTTTCTATTGTGGTAGAACACTCACAAAATTTACCTTTTATAACCATTTTACATTGTACAATTCAGTGGCATCTAGTTGGCATTCACGATACCGTACAACCAACGCCAGCATCTAATTCCAGAACATCCTCATCATCCCAAAAGGAAACTCTGTGCCCTTCACTCAAGTCACTCCCCATTCTTCGACCCCCTAGCCTTTTGCAACCACCAATCTGCCTTCTATTACCAGGACCAAACTACTTCTGTAACTGCTCTGAGCTAGGATTCATGACGAACAGACTCTGTGCTGAGTGTAGAGCCCGATGTGGGGCTGGATCCCATGACCCCAAGATCGTGACCCGAGCCAAAATGAAGAGTCAGACACTCAACCGACTGAGCCACCCAGACGCCCCACTAATTCTGAGGTTCTGATGACTGAGGCCTACTTTCCTACATAAACATCTTTGAAGCTGTTAGAGCAAGCCCCTCCGGAAAACAGGTAACAGTTTCTCTAGTATCATGTCTGTAATTATCAGCAACTGAGCAGCCACAAATAACACAAAGGAAGAGTTCATGGAGACTTTACGTGTTTTAATGGAACCCTCTCCAATAATAAACAAATTACAAAAAGGCAGGAAGAAAGAATTAAGACCCATTTATGATAAAGGGACTTTCTCTTCTCTCAAAACAGACTATGAGTATAGACTGGGCACATTTTATAGTAACCAATATAACGATAAAGCAGGGGCGCCTGGGTGGCTCAGTTGGCTGAGCATCTGACTTTGGCAAACAGGTCATGTTTTCAGAGTCCTGGGATCGAGCCCTACATCAGATTCCCTGCTCGGGGGGAGTCCGCTGGTCTCTCTCCCTCTGCCCTCCCCCCACTTGTGTTTTCTTTCTCTCTCTCTCAAATGGATAAATAAAATCTTATTAAAAAATTTAAAATTTTTTTAAAATTAAAAATAAAAGCAAACTATATCATGATTAAACCTGAGTTTTCATCCTGGGTTCACTTACTAACAGAAATGTGTTAACAGAAACAAGTCACTTAACCGCTCCAGAGCTCTACTTGCTTCTGGTGGAAGAATGCAGGTAAAGCTCTCTTGATGATACATCTTTTAGCTCTCATGTGGTACAAATACTGGCTCTTCCCCATTTGTCATTGGGTAACTACAACACCTTATCTTCTGTACTAAATTTTGTACTTGACATTAATAAAACATAATCCTGGATTTTAAGTTTCTTTTAGTGGAAATCCCTACATTTTTGAAAAGTTCTAACTCTTTGCTGATATTTTTAAGAGAAATCTAAATGAGAAAGAGCATTACTAATTCTTACCTTGTTTGGCATCATCACAAGCTGCTGGCCTTTACAAATAGACCCTGACTCCAGCTTTCCCAGGACCACAGTGCCCATATCCTGTTTAAATTTGAAATAAAAAAACCAAGTGGTAGACTTTAATTACTATTCTACAAATTCAACAACCCAAAGTGAAATCTCATGGGGCTTACTCAGAAAATCTTTAGTTCAAGTGGCAGAATGGTTAGGATTAATCTTAAACACAGGATATGTCATCAGCATTTGTGCAATTACAATACTAGTAAGTGTGCCGAAGATCTTAAAAAAAAAAATAAAAAGGCACGGTACCAGAAACAGCACAAAATTTTACATATTGAAGATCTCCATTATTTGTTTAAATTCCAGTTCTCTCAAAAATCTCTGAGCCTGCTTCCTCATGTATAAAATTGGAAAAATACTTAAGATATTTAGCATGGAGCTAAGGAAAGAATTATTTGAAGAGGTCAAAACATTATATACCAATAAAACTTTTTTAAAAATCAAGTTGAAAATCCAGTTAAAAATAACGAAGCTTATCTTTTTAAGACTAGTGGCCAGTGTTGGCGAGGCTACAGTAAAACCAACACTCCTACACTGCTGCTAGTACTTCGGAAGGCTGCTGGACAATACCCATCAACTTTAACATGCAAATCCTGGGTCTAGCAGTTTTACTTGTATGACTCTCAAAAATGATCACTGGCTTATTGGGAAAACAGCTTAAATAAACTAGGCTGGCTGATTAAATTACGATCCATCTCATCCACAACACTAAATAACATACGGCCATTAAGAAAGAGACATTTATGCTATGCTGTTAATTATTAGGATTGTTTTGTAACTTGAAACACAAAGCAATGATTTTCCCTCCTATAAATCCCAATCTCTTGAACATCTTGGGTACCTTGTACTTATCCACAATTGGCAGCCTGATTGGTCCATCAACCGATCTATTGAAGTTTGGCAAATTATCCAGATAGGGAATAAACGGTAATCCACTGAGAACATAACAATATCCATTAAAGAGAATCAACATAAACATCAAAATTTTAAGATTGTAACTTTATATGAAAAACAGTTATGATACTTTCATTCTACCCACATACTCTTCTCATCAACCCATTTATTATCTGGTTCATCCCCTTCATTCCTCAGAAAATTAAAAATATTAACAAAATAGTCCTATAAATATAATGAAAAAGCTTCCCCATAAACTTAGTTTATTAAGATTGAGAAAAACATTTTAGGGGCGCCTGGGTGGCTCAGTCGTTAAGCGTCTGCCTTCGGCTCAGGCCATGATCCCAGGGTTCTGGGATCGAGCCCCGCGTCGGGCTCCCTGCTTAGCGGAAGGCCTGCTTCTCCCTCTCCCACTCCCCCTGCTTGTGTTCCCTCTCTCGTTGTGTCTCTCTGTGTCAAATAAATAAATAAAATCTTTAAAAAAAAAAAGGAAAGAAAAGTATTTTAAAGCAAATGGCCTACATTTTTTTTTTTTTGGCGAGTGAGCAGAGGGGGAGGAGAGAGAGCATCTTAAGCAGGCTCCACTCCACGCACAGTGTGAGCCCCATCTCACAACCCTGAGATCATGACCTGAGCCAAAGTCAAAAGAGTCGAGACCCTTAACCAACTAAGCCACACCCAAGTGTCCCTAAAATGACTACATTCTATTACTTAATTCTTATGGACTTTTCCAGCTCTCAAATCAGGATTCTATAAAATAATTTCCCCTTTAAAATTACAGTGTATGAACTGGGAGGTTTACTATTGCCAAGATAGCAATGCTCCCCAAATTCATTTATGGATTCAGTACAATCCCCATTAAAATCCCAGCTGCCTTTTGGCACAAATTGACAAGCTGATCCTAATGTTCATACAGAAATTCAAGGGACCCAGAATAGCCAAAACAATCTTGGAAAAAAAGAACAACAAAATGTAAAGACTCACACTTCCCAATTTGAAAACTTACAAAGCTATAGTAATCAAGACTTTGTGTTCTGTATCTCTCTGTCTCTCTCTCTGACAAATGAATAAATAAAATCTTAAAAAACAAAAGAAAAAAGAAAAAAACTTTACCTAACAAAACGAAGTTTTTAAGATATTCTTTCAAAATGAAATACACATCTAAATGTAAGAGCTAAAACTATAACAACCTTAGAAGAAAATAATACGGCTATGTCTTCCTGACTGAATTAGGCAATGTTTTCCTAGGTATGACAGCGAAAGCCCAACCAACAAAAGAAAAATAAACTGGATTTATCAAAATTAAAACCTCTTGTACCTCAAAGGATACCATCAAGAAAGTGAAAAGAGAATAACTAGAAGACAACCCAATTAAAAAATGAGCGATGGTCGTGGTATTTTTAAAGCCACAGTTACTTACAGTCTGTGTTTTCCAAAATTATTTACAAAGACATAAAACTTTTCTAAAAGGAAGAAGAGATTACTTACGTGTACCAAGGACAGAAATCTGATTGCTCTTTAAGATTTGCTCCAGTCAGTCCTGAGCAGGGCATAAAGTGAATGTCCTTTTTGGGATTGAAGCCAACTTTTTTCAAAAATGGCACTAGTTTCTCTTTACATTCTTCATATCTATGAATATTCATAAGTAACTCAATTGTAATATAAAGCAAGTGAACTCTAGTCTCATTATTAAATTAAGGTTTTAGAAAAACCCCAGGGCAAAAAAAAGTGCAGGGTAGCAAAACCATCCTTTATTCCGCTTCCAAGCCTGTAAAAACTAGTATGAGGGCAAAGCTCACCTCTCATTGCTCCAATTGACCGTTGGATCATCCATCTTATTAATAAGCACAATCAAGTGCTTCACACCTGCTGTCTTTGCCAACATTGCATGTTCTCTCGTCTGTCCGCCCTTTTCAAATCCAGTTTCAAACTCTCCCTTCCTAGCAGAGATGACCTATTCCAAGAAATCCAGTTTATTCTTATGTACTCAGGTATACCTCTTGAGCAGTGAAAACAGCTTTCCTTTCAGTTTTATCAGAAGCTTTTTGCAAGAAAATAAAAGTAAATGAGCTGTAACCTGCATGCTTTTGAATGTCACAATGTCTAAACGGCTTAAGATTTTGGTAAATGTTTCTTCTGATCCCCCCAATTTTCCAAAACCTAGGATGCCTTTATATTTTGCAATTCAAACATGTATGTGATTCAGGGCTGGTATACTGATGAAGCAAACAAAAACAAACCCGCAAAATGCCTGAGGCCTTGAGAAACAAATCATTTCTTACTCCGCTTCGTACCCACAGCACTTGTGGTATGTACACAGTGGAGCAGGCCTGGCACTGAGTGGACACTGAGCTCTGACATGGTCACAGGTCAGAGCACCCATACGGAGAACAGACGGAAGGTGTTTTCCCAAGTGAGTCCAATCAGAAAGATTTCTGAAGCAGACGTGTGACACAACCATGAAATGTGCCACCGTGTATTATAGCTCACTGCGACCGCAATTTTAGCTTTTAGAGGGTAAACTCAAATACTAACATTGAAGCAGGGCTGCTAACAAATACACAGGTGAACTGGAAAGACCTTACTTACCAATACAGCCAAATCAGCTTGAGAAGCACCGCCTATCATATTTGGGACGAAACTCTTGTGGCCAGGGGCATCCAGAATTGTGAAATGCTTCTTTTCTGTTTCAAAATAGGCACGGCCCACTTCCACTGTTTTACCCTTGTCTCGTTCTTCCTGATTTGTATCTAAGGCCCAAGATAAATACCTGAAATAAGTTTAAAATAAGGTTAATATTGCTAAGAACGTAAGTTTTAAAGATACTCTTCTACCATTAAAGGTGTAATGACGACATCCAGCTTTACATCCGACATACATTTAAATCAGGAACAAGACAGGGGCGCCTGGGTGGCTTGGTCGGTTAAGCATCTGTCTTCAGCTCAGGTCATGATCCCGGGGTCCTGGGATCGAACCCCATGTCGGGCTCCCTGCTCAGCGGGGAGTCTGATTCTCCTCTCCCTGTGCCCCTACCCCCTGGCTTGTGCTTGCTTTCTCTTTGTCAATTAAATAAATAAAATCTTAAAAAAATAATGATAAATCATGAACAGGACAGCTGGCTCAGTCAGTGGAGCATGCAACTCTTGATCTCGGGGTTGTGAGTTTGAGCCCCATGTTGGGTGCAAAGATTACTTAAAAATAAAAAAAAAAAATCTTAAAAAAAATCATGAATAGGACTGGAAAGAAATGAAAATCAAGAGAATAAAACTTGTATTACTGTGATTCAAACACTTGGAGCTTTTACAAATATCCAGTCAATTACAGGCATCCCCTGATTTTTGAAAGTTCATGTTATGCCACTTCACTTTTACAAAAGACCTATGTCAGAAAAACTTTAAAAATTAAAAAATAAATAAATAAATACCTACATTAGTACCTGTTTTTGCTAACTGAAAGATGCCTAAAGAGGATTTTTTGGTGTTTTTTTTAAATATTTTATTTATTTTACTGAGAGAGAGAGTGCGCGCACGAACAGGGGGAGAGGCAGGGTGAGACCGAGAGAATCTGAAGCAGTCCCCCCGCTGAGTGCAGAGCTGGCCGCGCTGAGCTGAAACTGAGAGTCGGGGAGTGTTTAGCATGTTTAGCGTCTGTTCTGCAACGAGCTGTCACAGAGGCAGTGCTGAGCGGCGCCGGTGACGCCCTCAAGTCCTTCCAGCTTTCCCTCCGCGCAGCGTCTGCATCGAGCCACCATCACTTTGAACTGTGTCGGTGAGCATCTGTGCTTTACCTCCATTTATTTGGTGCATCCGTTAGCAAGATGAGCCCTAATATCAGAAAAGCCTGAGAGAGACTATTCTCTGGGTCTGGGAATGCTCAAAAATTTTTCCATATAAATTAATGACGATTGCTTCTTTGCTTTATGCCATTTTGGTTTACAAAAGGAATGCTTTACTCTTGGATAGCAGGGAAGAGTGAGTGTGTGTGTGTGTGTGTGTGCTTTACTCTTGGATAGCAGGGAAAGTGTGTGTGTGTGTGTGTGTGTAAGGCTCCACACTAGGCGTGGAGCCCAACATAGGGCTTGAACTCGCAACCCTGAGAGCAACACCTGAGATGAGATCAAGAATCAGACACTCTGGGGCACCTGGGTGGCTCAGTCAGTTAAACGTCTGCCTTCAGGGGGCGTCTGGGTGGCTCAGTCGTGGGGGTGCCTGGGTGGCTCAGATGGTTAAGCATCTGCCTTCGGCTCAGGTCATGATCCCAGGGTCCTGGGATCGAGCCCCACATCGGGCTTCCTGCTCAGCAGGAAGCCCGCTTCTCCCTCTCCCGCTCCCCCTGCTTGTGTTCCCTCTCTCGCTGTCAAATAAATAAAATCTTTTAAAAAATAATAAATAGTATGTAATCCATTTTTTAGTATAACATTGATGATGATCTTTTCCCTTAATACAGAGAAATACAATTTAAAAACACCAACAACAAAACAAAAACCATGAATGTCCCAGTCAAATCTTAACTTTAAAAAAAAGATTAGAAAGAAAAAGAAACTGACCCTTTTTCTCACCACTCAAAGGCAACCCACTGTCAATAATTCTGTCCATTCTTTTTATCTTTCCTGTGTTTATTTACATCATTAATGATCATATCCTAAGCACTATCACGTCACCTGCTTTCTCCCCCAAATTCCACTATAACTTAAGTTCTACTTCTGGTTATTATAAATTCTAGAAATGCGGGGTGCCTGGGTGGCTCAGTCAGCCGTCTGCCTTCAGCTCAGGTCATGATCCCAGGGTCCTGGGATCGAGTCCCGCATCAGGCTCCTTACCAAGGAGCCTGCTTCTCCCCCTCCTTGTGTGCGCGCTTTCTCTCTCTGACAAATAAATAAAATCTTTAAAAATAAATAAATAGATTCTAGAAATGCAATTTTTTAGTGGTTAGGTAATGACCCTATGAAATGAAGGAGCCTGCTTCTCGCCCTGCTTGTGCGCATGCATGCGCTCTGACAAATAAATAAAATCTTTAAAAATAAATAAATAGATAGATTCTAGAAATGCAATTTTTTAGTGGTTAGGTAATGACCCTATGAAATGAATGGTTTAGAACTTATCCAACAAGTCCATTACCAGATGTCTGGATGTTCCCAAACGTTCCCTGGGCAAGTTTTGAAGGAATCAAGTCATCAGGAGCTGGTCTACTTTGGAGTGTGAGGGGAAAGGAAATTTTTTCTTTGTTATGACATCACCTCAGGCCTCATGCACATCTATCTAAGTAGACTACAACAGCATAAGTAGCCAGTGCTTCCTTAAAAGTAATTTATAGTGCCATAGAAGTCTACTATACCAAGTTTCTCTGTTTTTCTCTTTAGCTTCTCTTTCGTATTTCTCAAGTGTCCTTTTGTCAACCATTCCAGTCAAATACCTGAAAACAAAGAAAAAAGAAGGAAACACTTAATTACAAATTATTCAGTGAAATTAAGAAGCCCTTTAGGGGAATTTCAACTCCAGAAAACAGCTATTTTAAAATAAAGAACCAATGATGGATGCTGAAATCATGGAAAGTTTCAGAGGAAAAGATATTTACATGGTCTCAAATTCTCTCCCCCCAGATAAAGGGGAAAAATAGTAAATTTACCGTGGGGAATCCTGGCAGACAACACGTTAACCAAGTAATCCTGGCTAACAGCACCAGCAGTAAAGAGAACACATCAAGAACTGACATGAGGTAGCCCTGACGGGATGTCCGTGTCATAGTCTTGCCCTAATGTATAACCTCAATCTAACTGCAAAACCTCAGTTGAACCCCAACTGAAGAATATCCTAAATAGCACTCTTCAAATTAAGCAAAGTCGTGGAAGATGAGACCGAGGCAACGTCACAAGCTAGAGGAGACAAAGATGGAACGACTAAATGCAACGTGGAATTCTGGAACCGAAAAATGACATTCATGGAGAACTGGTGAAATTCAAGTAAGAGCCACAGTTTAGTTAACAGTACTGTACCAATGCTAACCTCCTAGTTTTGAGGACTATACTATGGCTATTTAATATGTTAACGCTAGGGATGGCTGAAAGGTATACAGGAAGTCTGTACTATTTTTGTAACCTTTCTGTAAGTCTAAAATTATTTCAGAATAAAATTTTTAAAAAATTTATTTATTTTAGGGGCGCCTGGGTGGCTCAGTCGTTAAGCGTCTGCCTTCGGCTCACGTCATGGTCCCAGGGTCCTGGGATCAAGCCCCGCATCAGGCTCCCTGCTAGGAGGGAAAGCCTGCTTCTCCCTCTCCCCCACTCCCCCTGCTTGTGTTCCCTCTCTCGCTGTGTCTTTCTCTGTTAAATAGATAAAAAAAAAAGTTTATTTATTTTAGAGAGAGAGGCAAATGTGAGCAGGGGCGGGGCAGGGAGGAGGGAGAAGGGGAGACAGAGAGAAGCAGACTCCCTGGTGAGTGCAGAGCCCCCCACACTCGATCTCGCAATCCTGAGATCATGACTTGAGCCGGAACCAAGAGTCAGATGCTCAACTGATAGCCACCCAGGAACCCCCAGAATAAAATTTTTTTAAGGGGCAAATATAAGTACTATATAAAAGAAGTGTTGTCCAACAGTGTTGGCCAGGCAATTAAATCTTATTAATACATTTCAATATTTAATATTTTTTAAAAATTATCAAAGATTGTAATTTTAAAACAATTCCTTAGGAATACTGAACTGCTTCCCTTGACTCAATCCAAATCAAAGCCTTCCTATTCAAGCTTTCTTCTCTGCAGAGTCATCTACAGTGCATGCTCCTAGCTAGCTGAGCACAGAATCCTAGTGAAATGCCCACGAAAATTACAGCCCATAAGCAAAAAACACACATTCTCCTAAAACACAAAATCATATGGGCCCAACACTTCCAGCCACAGAGGCTTAGTTAAGGGTCTCTATTTAAAAGCTTATTTTAAGGTCTGTTGTAGAATTTTCAGAAGTAACTGGGAAGGTTACCAACTAAGATTACAAGGCAAGACAATGAAGATATGCCCTCTAGATCCTCTGATAATACAGTTTAAAGAAATGGATCTAATTCAGAAGGGATTAAAATTGTAAAACCTAAGAAAAATAATCTCTATCCCCAATGTGGGGCTCGAACTCACAACCCTGAAAACGAGTCACATGTTCTACCAACTGGGCCAGCCAGGTGCCCCCAAATTGTAAGAACTTCTAATTAAAAAAAATTTTTTTCAATACTAGAATAGACTGCTAAAGATCAATCATGGTGGGGCGCCTGGGTGGCTCAGTCGTTGGGCGTCTGCCTTCGGCTCAGGTCGTGATCCCAGGGTCCTGGGATCGAGCCCCGCATCGAGCTCCCTGCTCGGCGGGAAGCCTGCTTCTCCCTCTCCCACTCCCCCTGCTTGTGTTCCCTCTCTCGCTGTCTCTCTCTCTGTGTCAAATAAATAAATGGAATCTTTAAAAAAATAAAAAATAAACATCAACCATGGTGTTTTCATACTTAGATAGCTTCTATATATGATAACAAATTATGATAACAAATTATCTTAGTATGCTAGCAGACTACCTGTCTTTGATTAATCCACCTAGGATTTAAAGAGTTGATGAATCAGGAATAAGGAGTTCCCTCCCCGCCAAGTACCAGATTCATGTGCTGGTTTTCATTATTCCTAAGAAAACTATATTCAAAGCAAACTAACATTTCCTACAATCTAGGGTTCTATAGTAGCTTTTATAAAAAAAAATATCTAAAATACAGCTTTCAGAAATACATTTAATGTTCCAGAAGAGCCTGACAGTGGTAACCAAAGAATTCTAGGGAATGCCTAAAATCCATCAAAAAATACTAACAATGATCACACACTGCAAAAATTCCTTCTTAACATCAGCTTTCCTTACAGGTAATGTCTTCATAACTTTTTCAGGTGACCTGTTTTACCTCCTTTGTATGACTGTACTGTTTATAATGCCCAAAATTCATTCAATCAAGTTAACTCTATTATTTAACAAAAAATAGAGACTTACATTATTTGTCCTCCTATGGTTGACTTGCCAGCATCTAAAAGTAACAACAACATCAATAATATGCAAACCACAGGCATAAAAACAAAAACAAAAAAACCACTATACGTGTTAACACCATTACCAATTAGCATATATAATTACATAATTTCAGTTGCAAAAGAAGCTGCCAAGACCCCTTGCCGCTCAACAATGACTTATACTGATCAAGAATTTAGAACTACTTCACTGATAAAGAAGCATTTTTGAACAGACTGTGCTCTGTGACCTTCAGCTAAGAGCACAGCAGCAACAGAATATAAATCACCCAAGGGGATCTCAGGGGAGAGCAAAAGCAGCCAAAGAGCCATGAACTACATTTAGGTAGTCTGTCTTTCACTAATTTTAGCAAATATAGGTGTCCCTTTACAAATTTCAAAGGAGTTCTTGCTACTAAAAAAAGTAGTGTGGTGTAGCATTATATTCAGGAGAAGGCAGAGATAAAGGGAAGGAAAAAAGGACACATGATTCTGTATTTTCTTCTCATGATTTTGGGGCTAAGTCAGATGGTCAGGGAGAATCTGAGTAAATTAAATAGGGTTTTGTTTTGTGCTAAACCAGTAACCTCACAAGCAGCCAAAAGTCACTCCCAATTATTAATTTCCTTTGTCACACAAAATTAAACTATCTAGGTTAGAGAAGCCCATAAAATTAACAAATTAACTGAAGTTCACACAAAACAACAGGCACATTTTCTAGAATATTAACCTAATAGATGTCATAATATGCTTAGCCACCATCGGGGGGGTCTATAAACCAACTGTGTATAACATACAAATACACTGAAGCTTGTTTTCTTCCAGCTTCCATGACATTACAAAATTATTTATGTATCCAACAAAGCGTTGGCAATGTTTTGCCGGCTAAAAAATCTATCAAGTTAAATATCAAAACATTTCAGAGTAATTCAGTTCAGTTTCACTAAACCTCTCCCAAGTAGCTGTTTGATGTAGCTAATGACCGGTCATTGCTTCACTGCTAGGAGTGTAACTTACCTACATGCCCAATGAATACCACATTTACATGTTCTTTTTTAGGAGCCCCAGGGGGTGCGACCACAGATTTAGGTTTTGGTATTTCCTCTTCCTCCTCCATCATTTCTTGGGTGCTCTCCTCTGGGGGTCTTCCATCTCCCAGGGAACCACCCCCTAACTCTGCTTCACTTATTTCTTCTTTGTGCTCCCATGATTCTTCTGGGGACATTTCTGTCTCCCCATTTTCTACTGAAATAAGACATTTAACTTAGTATTCCGAAAAAGACTTACAATCTGTACTGTAAAACACAGATGCCTTCAAACAACAAATAGAACTTTGCATATTTAGTTCTATTTCCTAACAGTCTAGTGAAACATAAGCAGGAAAATCTCTTTCACAACAGAAATGGATGACAGCTGGCCCCACTGCGGACATCAGAGCTGACTCAGAGACTATGAGAGATTGCTATTTTAACAAAGCTTCACTTCCATAAGGACAGACAAAATGTAAACAGGAGATGTACCATTCCTAACAGCCCAGTTATTCCAGTGTCAGAATGTCCTGACACAGGGAAAATGGGAAAGTTGACAATCAGAACTCGGGATTTACAACATCTTTGCTTTTCCCTCTGCAAATCATTTGGTAACTTTATCAAAGACATGGGGAGGGTGCCTGGGTGGCTCAGATGGTTAAGCATCTGCCTTCGGCTCAGGTCATGATCCCAGGGTCCTGGGATCGAGTCCCACATCGGGCTCCCTGCTCCTTGGGAGCCTGCTTCTCCCTCTGCTTCTCTCTCTCTCTCTCTCCCTCCCTCTCTCTCTCCTTCTGTCTCTCACGAATAAATAAATAAAATCTTTAAAAAAAAAAAAGACATGGGGAATCTGACACCCTTAAGAGTAAGAAAGTTGCAAAAAGGAAGGAAATTTTTCACAAACGACATCAAACAAGCACAAGTCCTTCAACTGCTTTTAGCGCTCTTCCACTCAGCTTTCACATCTGCGGCCATTCAGTGCATCATGGCAGCGCTCATGTCCAACCAGGTCTGCTTTCTAAGTCCCACAGAAAAGACTCAAAGTCAGTTTTAAATGCAGGCATTAAAATAACCATGACACTTACATTTGCACCTTATATCCTGAAAAAGTTTCATATTACTGTATTAATATGGTCAGAAATTTTCTTACCAACAGGTTCTGAAAGTTCCATGCTAACAGCTGAATTTGAACCTAGACGAGAAATTGAGATATAATATGTATTTACAAAACAATATCCAGGCTTCACACACCATAGAAAACTTAATGTTTTCTCAATTAGACATTCAAAGGATCGTATCATAGAAAATTACCTTCACACAACAATGACCGTTCGTCTTGAGAAGATTCCACAGGTGCTGTTTAATAGAAATAAGTTCTATTAAAAATTAAGTCCTATACATCCATTTTCATATTATCTTTTAAAATACGGTAAAAATAGAATTTCAACAGCCCAACAAAAACCTCAGTAATTTAGACCAACAGCAACTAACTCAGGTGTTCAAATTAGAAGTCTGTTTAAAAAATTTTTTTTTAACATCTACTGATTACAGCAGATTTCTACCATATTTTCAGTAATTGAAATGTATTCATAAAGGTATGCTTATTCTCTCAATTTGCTTCATAAAATTTTTCCTTCAAAAGCATTATAAAAGTAATCTGTGGCCCAACTGCAGACCAAATTATTAAGATTTTGCTCAACAAATACACATTACTTCTCTAGATTCTCTCTTGCTAGCTCCAGGTGGCCAAGAAGGCTATGATTAGCTCTTTTTAAAATCCCATAATCACACATTATTACTAAGATCCTTGAATAAATTCTATGATACCAATAAAATAAAAAGGACATTCACATAAAGTCCTTGAAATGCAAAGGATCCCTTATAACATGTCAGAAATGGTGATTACAATGACGCCAGTTTTGCCCTATATTAGAATTCTAAGATCAATAATCCAGTTTCCACAGCTACCACACTGCACCTCTACATGTGACATCCCTGGAAGAGAGGTATGAAAAATATGTACTGATACCCAAATACGTCAATTTATTTTTTTATATCTGATAAACCTAAATGATATCCCAATATGAAAGTGCCCTTGCTTCAAAAAATCTCCAAGAAGCAAAAGGTATCAAAGAACTTGAAGTCACCTGAATCCTGCACACAAAATAATAAATAATGAATTCATAACTGCAAAGCTCATATTTAAAATCACTTCGTAGAATCACCTGTAAGTCAAGACAAAGTTTTGGGCCCAGTCTTCAACAACGTGAAGTGTTGAAGAAAGTAATTTTCTGTTCCTGAAAGGTAAAGGGCAACCAAGTTTTTCCAAGAGAAGTGACATGCTGAGTGTCACCTGGGAAGGTCCCTCTACCATGGCAAAGACATAATGAGAGAGGGGAGAAAAAAACACCACCAGCAGAAAGACCAACATCAGCACTACAGGCAAGCATGCGCTGTGAACACGTGAGCGGTACAACTAGAGAGGAGGGGTCGAGCCAAAGGATAACAGAGGCATCATCTGGCAGGAGGAGGAAGGAAGAGTGAAAGGTCTAAGATGACCCCAGCCTACGTGGTTAGCAGGATATAAACAGAAACTAAAAAATCATTTGAATGAGGTGTGGGAGGGAAAAGGAATTATATTTTTTTTTGTTTTCCTACTTCAAAGAAAAGTTCATGGGTGGGGGAAGGAAAATTTCTCAATTTTCAGAGAAAGCCAGGCTGTGCGGAGCCAAGTTCATATGCCTCCCTCGGGCTGGAGAGGGCAGCACAGGGTAGTGGTAAGGGGCTAGCACTGAGCTGACTCCTGCTGTAAATGCTGGCTTATCACTTCAGGTTGTGAGATGCAGCTACTTCACTGGAATTCTGGAAATGACATGCTACCCACCTGACAGGCCCGCTGAGAGAATTAAATGAGAGAATACATTTGTTTTGTATTAAGTAACTCCTGGCACCAAGCAGATACTCAACACGTGAGTCTCTTCCCCCTAACAGGCGCTGGGATACACTCGACTCTATCAACCAGCATGACTGAGTATCAAATGTGTGCCAGCCTGGACAGAGGCCCTCACAAATCCACAGAGCGCTGGAGGTGGGGGCAAATTACCTCCAATTGATTCTTAACAAGCCGTGATGTGCTGACTCATTCAATCCCCTTCAAACACCCTGAAATACATAACTGCAATCACTCCCATCTAACATTCAGACAAACCCGACCCAACCGGGCTTTGCCAAGTTAGACAAGCGTCATCTCGCCCTCCTTCAAACAGCCCCTGCTGAAAAATTACTCGATAAACGTACATTGAGTCAGAGATGATGTAGTGTTTTAAGGCAGGAAAAAGATCACACAGTAAGATACCCCAAACTGCAGCTAAGCTTTACAAAACCCAACAATACACATAGCTGACCACCCAGTTCTAGAACTAACTCTTAGATTTACAAATACACAATACATGCAGAAGACCAAAAGGCGCTTCTCAGGATAATGACATCAGTCACCAGACCACATCAGTGGCTGCAGAATGCACCATAATGAAAATCTGCTCACAGCTTTATTTTTCAAAACATCCCATTTATGATATGTTCGCCTTAAGTTTGTAAAGCTCACAGGGACAGAGAGTCAAATACCAAAATCAATTAAGTGCTTAATATATACCTAATGGTATTAAAGGGCCCCAAAATAAAAAGTTGACCATACTTTCCCCAATGTGGAAAAAAGCTTTCCATGCATCCAGACATGGATCACATTATAAACCTAATGGCAAGGCTAGCGACATTTGTGAACTGGTATTTCTGCAATAATGGACCAGAAAAATCAGATATAGCAAGATGCTCTTTTAGAAACTCCTCAATCTAATTGTACCCCGGTCTTCTTACACGCACACACATACACAGTCAACACTTTCCAGTTCATTCTACTCAGGTCTTATTCATAATGCATATCATATCCTGACTTTATTAGCACTAAGGAGCCCAGGCTCAGAATTCTACAAGGGCCCAAAGTCTTTTGTTCATGGTCAGCAAACAGATGACCATGATTTAAGTCCTGCACAGTTCATATCCCAGTGAAGGAAAAGCTAGTAAACCTCCCGAGGAGTAAGGAGTGACATTATGGTTTCATATTTTCCAATGGTATTTCCATGTTCAGAAATACACCCTTGTCAAGTATTCAAAAAACGAACAATTCTAATTAAGTGGGAGAGTTATCAGACTGCATCAATGAGTAACCTGCCATATCCCAAATTAAAAGGGAAACTAATACTCTGGTTCATGATAAAGGAAGATTAATGAACTAGGTGTGATACTGGGTATATCACCACAAATTTTAAAACAAGAGGTGAAAGATGTTACTGTCAGGCAATATGACTGCCTGTGCTTTAACACCGATGATAATCTGAATCTTAAAACTGTTAAGAGAAAATTTGATCCTGGTGAAATAAGCCAGACACAAAGGGTCACATGCTGTACAATTCCACTCATAAAATGTTCAGAACAGGTAAATCCACAGAGACAGAAAGCAAGCTGATGATTGCCAGAAGCTGCGAGGAGGCAAAGGGAATGGGAAGTAACTGCTGAACAGGCACGGGTCTCCTCTCGGGGTGGCGGGGGGGGGCCGCTGAAAATGTTTTGGAACTAGACAGAGGTGGTGACTGCACAACACTGGCTGAATTATTCACTTTAAAATGGTTAATTGTATGTCACATGGATTTCACTGTAATTTTTGTTTTTAAAGATTTATTAGAGAGAGAGCAGGGGGAGGGGCAAAAGAAGAGGGAGAGAGAGAAGCTGACTCCCCACAGAGCGTGGAGACCAACATAGGGCTCGATCTCACGCCCCTGAGGTCGTGACCTGAGTGGAAATCAAGAGTCAGACACTTAACCAACTGAGCCACCCAGGCACCATGATTTCACTGTAATTTTTGTAAAAAGAATATAAATATTTTTAAAAGAGCTGATCATGGAGGGGCACCTGGCTGGCTCAGTTGACAGAGCATGAGACTCTCTGTTCCAAGGGCTCATGAGTTCAAACCCCATGTTTAGCATGGAACTCACTGAAATGAAATGAAATGAAATGAAAGATCTGATCATGAATCAAAAGACGTCAACATGGAGACTCGTACTTTGTCAGCTCATCAGTATAGCACAAGTTAGTCAAGGTCATACAGGTGGTAGCTAATGAAATGTTTTAATTCAAGCTACATGTTTTCAAAACAAATGTCTGGCCAATTCTTGAAAAGTGCTTAATCTGTATATTTCATAAATAACCAATTTGAATTTGTACTGCTTTAGATATAAAACTGATCTTTAATCCTCTTTACACACTAAACAGCAATATATAAAATAGCTACCCTAACTAAAATTCCTTAGCCCTGTTAGCTAAATGGCATGCTCATTAAAGAAAAAAATAAAAACAATTTCAGTGCTGTCACACAAGTCACTGTGTGTTACACTGGACAGAAGTGAGAAGCAGTGTGACAAAATTCTGTCCAATACAAGTTTCTGCAGTGAGGGACATGTTCTCTGTGCTGTGATAGGACAGTCCCAAGCCACATGTGGCTATTAAGCATTTGAAAGGTGGTACCTCAACTGAGGAATGGAATTTTAAGTTTTACTTAATTTCAATTAAAGAGCCACAAGGGCACAGCTCTAGCGGCTCTCACACATTCTCCTCAAGTGTACAAACTGGCCACACCTGATCTTCCACTTTTATTGCACTCCCAACCCAGCCTACCACCTGAAGGCTAATGATCCCTCCTCAGATCTCCTCTAGGGTAGGACCCTGCCTTCAATTACAGGGGCACACAAACAGATCTTCCTTCTGGTTCCCCAGGAGATCACAGATTCCAGAACGATGGTGGTTTTCTGAAATACGGAGACTTTTTTCTCTACTCTTGTAGTCCCCACAGGCTGGCAGAGTGCATGTACCATACAGGATAAACATACAACTGATTTTACTGAATTTCCTTCAGCTTTCTTTTGGTTTTCACAGGGCTAGTTCCTTGTGGTCTTATTGGTTCAGTTTTCTCGGAGTCTTATGTTTACTACATTCCCATAAGGGCTCAACAGAGTAAAACCAACCTTCTATGTGCTGGCATTTTTTTTTTTTTTTAATTTATTTATTTGACAGAGAGAGAGAGCACAAATAGGTAGAAGGCAGGCAGAGAGAGAGGGAGAAGCAGGCTCTCCGCTGAGCAGGGAGCCCGACGTGGGGCTGGATCCCAGGACCATGATCTGAGCCAAAGGCAGACGCTTAACTACTGAGCCACCCAGTCGCCCCTATGCGCTGACTCTTTAACAAGGGTTCAGAGAAACAGTATCCAAGAAATGTTCAAGTATAGTCTGAGTAAGGAACTAAAACTT